GGTACCACAAGGATCTGTGCTAGGACCCAGCCTCTTCCTCTTCTATATAAACGACATGCCAGAAAATATTAAATCAACTGTGAGGCTATTTGCAGATGACACCATTGCATACATCACAGTAACATCAGATGATAATACCCTCCAGGAAGATTTAGACAAGTTGGCTGTCTGGGAAGAAAAATGGATGATGTAATTCCATCCAGATAAATGTCAGGTATTATCAGTAACAAAGAACAGAACACCTATTATAAAGGATTACCGTTTACATAGCCACACTTTGGAGCACGTAACATCTGCAAAATACTTAGGAGTAACTATAACATCAGACCTTAAATGGGAAAAACATATCGGAAACATTTGTGCCAAGGCAAATAAAACCATCGGATTTCTCAGAAGAAACCTCAATATCTCTAACAGCGATATCAAAGAAAAGGCCTACATCTCCCTCGTTAGACCAACAATCGAGTATGCAAGCTCTCTATGGGATCCATACCTCCAAAAAGATAAACACAAGTTAGAAATGGTACAAAGGAGATCGGCCAGATATGTAACAAACCGGTACAGTAACAGATCATCCGTTACTGATATGTTGGAACAACTAAAGTGGACACCACTTGAAGATAGAAGGAGAAGCGCACGACTATCAATGCTGTATAAGATCAACAATCAGGAGGTCAACGTTGCAGCAAGCCACAAACTCGTTCCACCGGACAGGATCTCAAGAAATATGGGCACAAACTCTTTTCAGATCCCACAATGTAACACGACAACAAGGAAAGAGTCATTCTACCCGAGGACCATCAGGAATTGGAATGCCTTACCCTCCTCAGTTACATCTGTCAGCAGCCTTGAATCGTTCAAGAGACTCCTGACAAACAAATAAATCAAAAGCCCTTGTTTTTAATCCCCACTGTTAAATATTTGTATAGCACCTTTTTTTGTTTGTTACTTTAATCAAAATTATATTTGCGCACACCCAAAAGTGACAGAATAGTCAACATGATGACGGTGGTCACTAACTGGTAGAAGTAGAAGTAGAAGTATTCCGAATAACATCCGGTGTTCCGAATGACTACGGACATCGTCTAATATATACTGCGTAAACCCTCAGGGGTTTACGCAAAAAGCATGCGATAATAACCGGAAGCAGTTGATATGAAACGGAAGCAGTTGATATAAACCGGAAGCAGTTGATAACAAAAGTCATATCACACGGTTAAGGCAATTCTTCAAATTTAATGAATAAATATATGTACAAATAAGTTTTATCATGGGGTACAATTATACCATTATTTTCTATAAGTATATGATAAATAACGATATTGTAATGTCATTAATTTCTTGGTGATTCTTCAATAATTTAAGCTAACTAATCATTGGCGGATCCAGGGGGTGTTCCGGGGCTGGATCCGTGCCGGATATATTTACTCCAGAAGTACTCAAAAATTCTAGAGAGAACTCGCTGTCTTGACAGGCGTTTCGAGTCATTGCAAGTTACTTTTATAGTACTATAGTATATGATGCAAGTATCGGAGTATTTAATCTGAAGTTACTTTGAATTAATTTGAGGTTGTTCTAAAAAATCTTTTTTAATGTGTTGCTCATCTAAAAATTATGGTAAAGATATAAATAATACTTTTCATATTGGAGGTATCGTTTTTCTGTGTTAGGGTAATTACACAGGCCCCATAGTTCCTTTGGCAGTTTAGAGACCGAAGCCCACGTATTTTGAGCTCGGATCGCTACCCACGATGCTGCGTGACCTATCATTGAATTGGAGTCTGGAACCCTATTGGTGGAGCCCAGTGTTCTTTCAGTGTAGCTTGAAGCAACAAAACGTTACCCAATGGAGCCATGAGCACATAATGTGGAAACAGGAGTCCATAGTTTGGAGCCTGGATCCCAACGATAAACATAGGATGGAACTCGAAGCCCAGAGCAATAAGTGTAATTCCCCAATTTTGTAGCATGTGTTAATACTGGGACTATTATACTAGCGTTTGTATAATAGTACCAGGTTAATATAAGCGTTACTCCCCTCTAGAAAAGGAGACTGTGACAATATAAATTATTTTTTTTTCTTCTTGTCTTTAAAAAATATTGAAATGTCTTTGTATTCGCAAACAAGTACATTCAGAAATTTTGCACGTGCAGATGTTTAATGTCTTTTTCTAAAATAGAAAAAGAAAAAAAAAACCTTTTGGTTTTTATTAGGTCTTTCCACTTTTCTGTGGAAAGACCTATTGGTTTTCTTCTGATTATTAGGTCTTTCCACTTTTCTCTGGAAAGACCTTTTGTATTTGTTCTGATTATTATTATTATTTTTTTTTTTTTTTTTTCTTCCGCCAAATTTTGTTCTTGCGATAAATGTTTGTTTCGCAATATGTCGCTTAGATATTTCTCATATTGTATCGTATAGTTTATGCGCTTTTAAATTTCACCCTGCTAAGCCGAACCATTTTCTTTGCAAGAGTTATCTCCCTATTCACTGTTTATCATCTGTGTGCATCTCCTTCGTAACAAAAAAAGATGTCGACAAAATTCTTTTTCTAAATTGTTCGTTACATCCTCAGGAATTTTTGGCTAATTTGGATCGAAGCGATTCGATGAAATTTTATAGGAGTTATCTACCTTTATCAAATAAATTTGTCGTTATGTTTTTGTTACTCATAAAGTGTAAGCCGTATAAACCTATAGTCTTTTTATTTAAAGTCCTTGGATCCTAACTTCGAAAATGAGGTCAAGGTCAAAGGTCAAGGTCATGTTGTGAATTTTGTCTTTTGCTTGGTTTTGCATTTTCTCCGATATTATTAATGTTATATATTAAAGAACAAGTGCAAAATGTTTGTTATATTGTGATGAAGATATGATACATTTGGTCTGAGACAATCCAGCGACATCTTATTGGAGTTATTGCCATAAGATCTTTTGCAAAATGTTGGGTGACATATGACCTTGAAAAATATCAACCGGAAGTGACCTTGAGTGAACCGGAAGTAGTCATTTTTGCACTTATTTGATGTAGAAGTACATAGAAACCATATATTTTTTGAATTGAATGTAAATAAATCTATCATATCAGACCGGAAGTGACATTTTCTAAACCGGAAGTAGCCAATTATCTCCCTTTTTACAGGCAAAAGTATATATAAACCATATATTTTTGGAATCAGTGGAAAAAAATCTATCATATGAGACCGGAAGTGACATTTTCTAAAGCGGAAGTAGCCAATTATCTCCCTTTTTACAGGCAAAAGTATATATAAACCATATATTTTTGGAATCAGTGTAAATAAATCTATCATATGAGACCGGAAGTGACATTTTCTAAACCGGAAGTAGCCAATTATCTCCCTTTTTACAGGCAAAAGTATATATAAACCATATATTTTTGGAATCAGTGTAAATAAAGCTATCATATGAGACCAGAAGTGACATTTTCTAAACCGGATGTTGACAATTATCTCCCTTATTTCAGGCAAAAGTCTATAGAAACCATATGTTTATTGAATCAGTATGAAGAAATCTATGATTGGACGCCAATAGTAGCTTTGAGCAAACCAGAATTAGCTTCTCATCAATTATTTAGAAAATTGATGTGGAAAGACCTTCAATTGTTCTTTGAACAATTGGTTTTTAATTTTTTTTTTTTTTCTTCCGCCTAATTTTGTTCTTGCGATAAATATTTGTTTCGCAATATGTCGCTTAGATATTTGGTATATGATATCGAACAGTTTATGCGCCTTTGAAATTTACCCTGCGTAACCAAATAATTTTCTTTGTAGGAGTTATCTCCCCGAACACTGTTTTCCTTCTGCACGCATCTCCTCCGTAACCGTAAAAGAAGGCGACAAATTTATTTTACCAAATTGCTCGTTATATCCTCAGGATGTTTTGTCCAATTTTGACCGAAGCGATACGTAAACTCCATATGAGAGTTATTTCCCCTTCTGTATTTGACATAAGAGATATATAAATGTTTAGCATGAATGGTAAGTGATAGAGACCTAAGGTATATTGATTTGAGTTCCTTGGTTCATTTAAATGAAATTGAGGCCAAGGTCAAAGGTCAAGGTCATATTCTAAATTTTGACTTTTCCTTGTTATTTGATCTCCTCTGTCACTTTTAAAATTACAAATTAAAGAACTAGTGCAAAATGTTTGCTTAATTGTGATTAAGATATGATACATTTGGTCTGAAATAATCCAATGATATTTTATAGGAGTTATTGTCCCTGAAATGATTCAATTTAAGGTTAATTGATTATTACTCCAACTTGGTACATGATAAAGCCATAGGATCTTTTGAAAACTGTTGGTTGACATATGACCTTGAAAAAAGTAAACCGGAAGTGACCTTGAGTGAATCGGAAGTAGTATTTTTTGCACTTATTTCATGGAAAAGTACCTAGAAACCATATATTTTTTGAATGATCATAGGTTAACCTATCATTTGAGACCGGAAGTGACGTTTATAAACCGGAAGTAGCATATTATCTTCCTTATTACAGGCATAAGTATATACAAACTATATATTTTTGGAATCAGTGTGAATAAAGCTATCATATGAGACCGGAAGTGACATTTTCTAAACCGGAAGTTGGCAATTATCTCCCTTATTTCAGGCAAAAGTATATAGAAACCATTTATTTATTGAATCAGTATGAAGAAATCTATACTTTGACGCTATTAATAACTTTGAGTAAACCAGAAGTAGCTTCCTATCAATTATTTAGAAAATTGATGTGGAAAGACCTTCAATTGTTCTTTGAACAATTGGTTTTTAATTCTTATTGATTCACGCTTATACATTATACATTGAACATACCATTCCCATATGTAAAAGAAGATTTGCATATAGTTTCACAATAGGAAAGACAATATGATTTTATCGTTTAAATTAATGTTCTCACTTTTTGAATATGGATCAATATGGTACTTCGCGGTATTATTTTTTTGGTATGCTGTTGTGAAACCGTTGACATATCGTAGATCAAGGGAGATAACTCTAAAAGGAAATTGAACAAAAATTGACATACGTTTTGTCAGATTCACCTGATTTTGTGAAATATAATAGAAAACATGACCTCAAACGGGACTTTTAAAGCAGAAGAAGCAGAGGTAGCAATTATGGTTATCTAAATAAGAGATGACAACAAAAAGATTAAAAAACAGTAGCCATGAAACATGTCAAAATTTTCTCGTAACTTTTGATTTGACTTTTTATAAATTAGGTTCAAAGGAAAATAGGCTGCTGATACACAGGCACTTATCTAATTATATAATCAAAGTTAAAGTTAGAGAGTGAAAAATTGTACACGCGAGACTTTAATATTTACAAGAGAGACAATGTCAACAGCGACACAGGTCTACAGAATGGGTACAAGTCAAATCGGCACCTATAGAAAAAGTCATTAGTGGCAAGGTTCCGGTGCAAAAAATAGTTGACATGCATTTTGTAGCCGAACACACGGACACAACGATTAATTATAAATATTGAATATACTAATTCAGTTTAAAGGCTTAATTTAATACAAATGACCGTGTTCTAATGTAAAATGCCACAAATGTAAATTTTAATTAGATACAATTTTCTGGAACACAAATTATACTGTAAATTCGTATCAGCATTGCGTAGGCACCGGACACATCCATCTAGAACACCAATACCAATATTTAATATTGAAATAGTTCCAGTATAATGCTGTGTGTTATTCAAGAGATAGAGTTAATTAATGGTCTATACAATTTTATACCCTTAAAGGACAATTGCTTTGACAAAACTCTTGCAACTTTTACTGTATTGTACTTTCAATATTCGCATTGCCCAGGCGCATGCAAAATCGATCGTTATATTAATCCAGTGTACATCCAAACGTGTAGAGCCAATTTTAACTTGGGCCTACTATAAATAATAAAATCGAATGGAAATGCAACTATATCAAAGTAAGAAGATATATATTCCTTGATAATTATCAGATTTAGGCTTATCAGACTTTTCTTCCCCGATCTTCCTGATTCGCAGCGGGAGCTTTGCGTATTTTCATATAGTGTGAACAATGTATTTCTTCCACTGATGTCTTCCTATTTTTCTTACGCATTCCCAATATTTATATGTGTTTATGCCTTAAAGATGAAATCATATTCATTTGGATATGGTTCAGTATAACAGGAACATATATAGTTGATATACTGTTCCCCAGGGTAAAAGTTTACGGAGCTGTACATTTGCTGTATGTCAAACTGAATTAAATTGTCCAGTCAGTTATGACATACAATTATCCATGACTTGAGTTTGAGTAGGTAGATGTTTCTTTATGTTTATATCATAAAAGGATTCACCACACGAACTGTTAAGGTCTTATTAGCCTATTGATTATTGAGAAAACACAGAGGGGTCCGAAAGAGAGGGGGAGGGGTAAATTGTTTGATCCTTGATTTCTGAAAAAAATAAGTAAATTTATACAGGGAAGTGAAAAAATATAGTTTGTTTCCCTTGAAAATTATGATACAATAAATACAACATTTAGTTTTAAAATAAATTTTGTTCCTGTCTATCTTTGATATTGAAGAAAATAGTTTTTATACTAAATTAATTTGCATTAATATAAAGAAATTCACTGCATTTTGTGCTTAATCTATTGTGTTCTTAGGCTTAAGAATTTCATTAATTAAACATGAAACTGGTTTTGCCAACCACTGGTATCAATTTGTTAAACAAAAAAATATGTAATGGATTTCCATTTTTTTATAGAAAATTGTAGAAATGTATATATAATTTTAGAATTATATGTCCAAAATACAGCCTCGAAAATATATATGCTTTCAATCAAGTATCCACAAAGTGAAACATTGAAACATTGCCTCAGACCATACTGTCTGGAAGAAAAGTATAAAGCAAAAGACCTTTCCATTCAGGCTTCTTGTATTAAGACATCTAAGCATAGAAATGAGTAAAAAAATAACAAATTTCTACTTCTATGGCATCTGTATGCATTTTTATAAGTAAGTATGTGCTATCACTTAAAATGACTCGCAGTTATTTCCAGCGTTATAAGGCTTAAGACCATTTTATACTAATTTAGTATGCTATTTGTTCCTTTTCTTTCTGTTGGAAGTACATTTAATATATGCAGAAGGATTATTTTCAACAAAAAACTTCATAAATTTTTATTTGTACAAAATATTTACAGTTTTATACAAGCCCTTGCATTATTTGATAATTAACTCTTATTTTCAGACACAGACTCATATAGGTTAACTGACTTTAAGAAATCTTACACATCAGATGATTATTTTTCTATTGTTACATTGAATATATGATCACTAAATGGTACCTTATGTTCAGAACATTTTAAAACTTATTTATTAAAAAAGTTATTTTTCTTTTCTCATAGATATGCTAATAGCTGAACAGGTGCTTTAACATTGTTGACTCCATTAATTAAAAAGGACTATATTCTTTCTTTTTATTGAAATGGTGTACTAGTATTTAAAAACCAATGAACTTTGAAATAGAGGATTTCTGAGGATCAATTGTATTTCTTATGTTATATTTTAGATATCTGTATATTATGTCAAGATCTAAACTTAAGGGGTTTTTAACGACCATGACTGGCTATATATTAATAAAGCCCTCGCACGTCCGCTAATTAATAGTTCAAACCTGTTACTGTGCTATATACCAGAATTGAATTTGTCCTGATATCATAAAGGTGAAAAAGCGCAAAGTCCTGCGCCTGCTTACATGCACGGGACGTTTGCGCTTATTAATAGGACATTTGCGCTTTTTTAAATGGACATTTGCCATTTAAAAAAGAGGACATTAGCGTTTTTTCTACAGGACATTTGCCTTTTTTTATATGACATTTGAGCTTAATAAACATAACATTTCAGTTATGGCTTAAAGTTTAAAAACCATTAAATAATAAAAAAAAAAAACAGCACATTTATTTATTTATATACAACTTAAAGTTGTCCTTTTCTGTCTTTAGTTGTTGGGTTTCTTTTCTGCTGACCAATATCCCACAGGATTCCTCTGTTTTTGGGGGAATGTTAATTTCAATAAGTCAACTGATTACAATTTATCCTGCAGTAGACCTTACATATGTATACTAATACAGATGTACAGATAACACGAAGCGATAAACATATACTAGACGTTTATAGTCTCCTGGTATCCTGCTTCTGTTGCGAGTGAACTGTTATGTCAAATTACCGTTTACATCTGACAGAGTCCTCATTGCGGTCAGTGTTTAAGACATGTCGATTTCATTCAAAAACAAATTCAACGATTAGGATGGACACAAAATGTTTAAAATTTATTGCAGGATAAAGACAATAACTGTTTATTGTCTTTAAATATCAGCTGTATTTTTACTCTGCACTCAACAGGAGTAATAGCTAGCTGAAGCTCGCATTACACCTGTTTCTTAGCCTCGTACAAATACAGCTGATAAAAGTATTCCAAATATACAATACAATACAAATTGTTTATTTACCATTAATATTACCAAAACATAACATTACACATAAATACATAAAATAATTTAAAATAATAATGACATTCTAAACAGAATTATAAGAGACGGGTTTGAAAAAAAAAATTAATATCAATCTACAGCTAAATTTTCAAACTTCGAAAGATAGATATATACAGTTAGGACAAAAAGTTTAACGATATAAAGAACGACGTCTTCTATCTAATAAATTTGGCAGATATTGGCACTATTTGTAATAATACTATCACAGTCACTGGCAATAAACAATTTCTTTAAATTAAAAAAAATTTAAAAATTGAATGTTCTGACAAAAATGATTCTAAAAAGTTCAGTTCACAGGTCATTGCACGGCAGGCGTCCTTTTGCGCCAATTATTGTTTTTCAGGGGTATTATTTGTGCCAATCTTTTTTCATTCAAATGTTTCAATAGCGCCATTGTTCGGAATTCATTTTCGCCAATTTACAATGGACACTATTACAGTACATGTTCCTCAGTTTCAACAATGTTGCTACAAGTTTTACTAGTTCGTTGTTGCACTGGTAGTCTCTTATGACCGACATGAGGATAAAGACTTTAATAGGAAAAACTTTTTTTTTAAATATGACTGTTGAAATTGCAAATATATATCGCTGCTGAATTTGAATGTGATTGACATTTGTGACACGTGCTTTGATATTTATGTGTTTTTATAGTTCTTTATCTTTTATCGTTAATATTCTTAATTACCATGGTTACATGATTATTGGTATCTTTAGCAGTTTATGAGTTAATTGATATGATGTACAGGTATATTCCTTATTTTCGTTTATTTATCTTTGATGTATGCTTAGACTACTAGTAGCTATAACACATGTGTTATAGTAGTCTCAGATATAATAATTTCGATGAAATGTCAGATCTAAAAGATTTTTTTTATCATTGCTTCATTTCCTGACTAATAAATAAAACCCAGAAAAATAATTATACAAAAATATTCATTTATCGCAAACAAACAGAAAAAGTGTAATATGTAATACCTTGACTTTTAATTGGATGCACAAATTATAATTACTGTTTGTTAATTTTAATCAGACGCTATTCCATCATTGCCATAAGATTTTTATTTGTACTTTGTCGGCATATTAAAGGATATAGTCATTTAAGGAATAAACCCTAAGGCATTATAGTACGGTATTTGTTTTGACAATCAACAAGTCAATATCTAGGATATTCAGACAGCTTCAATATACTGATGTTATGTTTATGTTCCAGACCATATGAGTATTTGGACCATACGTGTACTGTCCGGACCGTATGCGTATACTCATACGGTCCTACCATTCGCGTTCACTTATACGGTCTAGTACAAGTCGGACCATACATGTATTTGGATCATATTGGGTTAATTTTAGACAAAACATTTATCAAAATCTTTTATGAGTTTTACAAATTATTATTACTACAATTAGATGAATAAAGTGAATAAGTGAACATTCAATCAATTGAATTCTATTTTGGCACTCTCGCCCATGGTGACATTTGCTTCCACAAGGAACGTCAGTTTTGTTCTTGCATGTTCCTTTGCATTTGCATCTCTTGCTTGCAAGAGAAAATCTTGCTTGTATTGCAGCAGCGTGCAATGAAATTCCTTCTGTTTTTCTATGTGCATTTTCAATTTTGCATGTCAAAAGTTCTATATCACCAATATCATAAAAACGGTTTAATATGTCAAATTCACATGATAGTTTGTCCGCCTGTAGCCCCCTGTTTCTGTAATTTTTTTATAGAAATATCACTGTGTCCAGCTGTGTCCGCCTGTATCCACTAGTTTCTATAAGTTTTATATAGAAATTACTTTGTGTCCACTTGTGTCCGCCTGTAGCCCCCTGTTTCTTAAAGTTTTATATAGAAATAGCACTGTGTCCAGCTGTGTCCGCCTGTAGCCAGCAGATTCTATAAGTTTTATATAGAAATTACGTTGTGTCCACTTGTGTCCGCCTGTGGCCCCTGTTTCTGTAATTTTTATATAGAAATATCACTGTGTCCAGCTGTGTCCGCCTGTAGCCAGCAGATTCTATAAGTGTTATATAGAAATTACGTTGTGTCCACTTGTGTCCGTCTGTAGCCCCCTGTTTCTTAAAGTGTTATGTAGAAATATCACTGTGTCCAGCTGTTTCCGCCTGTAGCCAGTAGATTCTATAAGTGTTATATAGAAATTACGTTGTGTCCAATTGTGTCTGCCTGTAGCCCCAGGGCCCTGTTTCTTAAAAGATTTATATAGAAATATCACTGTGTCCAGCTGTGTCCGCCTGTAGCCAGCAGTTTCTATAGGTTTCATATAGAAATAACGTTGTGTTCACTTGTGTCCGCCTGTATCCCCTACAATGTATATCTTAAAGTTTTATATAGAAATATCGTTATGTCCAGCTGTGTCCGCCTGTATCCTAAGTTTTATATAAGAAATAGCACTGGGTTACTGTATCCACTTTTGTCCACTATTTATTTAATGTTAATGTATAGATATAACGCTGTTTATATATGATGAAGCCATACATACGTGTCCATGTATCCCAAGACACAAAATGCATGCTAACTATATTTTGCACCGAAAATAGGACATATCTAGAAAAAGTCAATTTGGCACCTGGTTAAATAGGCATCTGTTCAAATCGGCACCTATTTAAAGTCAATTCGGTATCTGATAATATTTGATATAATATACATAAATAATTCTAAATATGTATAAATAATCTTTCAATTTCTAATTATTTTTAAAAATTTTGGTGTTGGATTTTACTTTATTCATTACATCGTTAAAAATCATCACATGTTATTAATATAAGCAATTTGAATACATAAGTTAATTGTTTGAAGTTTTCTCAACATTTTTATGACTGGTGTTTTGATTAGTGGATTGATTAATAACATTTATAAATTAAATAATTAACATGTTTGTTGTTTTAACGCTTTACCATGTTTACAGGTAGTTATATTTATTGATTCAAAAACTTAAATGAAAAAAACAATGAAGCCATTACCCAAGCTGTTGTTTAATCATGAGGAAATTAGAAGCAATTTCAGGAAAGTTTAAACAGCATTAAACCAAGAAGCATGCAAAATGCTCAACTGCCAGGTTAAACATTCATAACAAATATCAAATACCTTGAATACACATTGAATTGAATGAAAAAAATACATACAGAAACCCCTCAAAAAAAAAAATGTGAATAAGTCAATATTTCTGGACAACCCCTTCTTGATTATAATCTTTTTACTTAAAATACTGAAAAAAGATATACAACATATTCAACATGGGTGCCAAAATGGATGACTACATCGGGTGCCAATTTAACCAGGTGCTGATTTGACTAGGTGCAGATTTGACTATACCGGGTGCTGATAGAACCAGGTGCTGATTTAACCAGGTGCCGATTTGACTAGAATTCTACATAATACAGTCAGGGATACTACTTGTACAAGTTATTTTTATTTTCTTGAAGAAGTAAATAATAATATACTTATATAAGTAAATTTGTTATATTCATATTTTCTTATAAAGTTTGAATAATCTCCCCTTAATTTTCTCAGAAAATTTACTTGTATAAGTAATTTTTTTTTACAATCCCTAAAATGCTCCAGTTTTGGGATGTAAAAACATGCCTTTTTAAAACAATTTTTCTCTGGTCAGCTCATATTTTTTTATTAGAGTTCAATGTTTCATCTCGTTAATTCAACAGAGAAACTAATTGCGCAACGATCTTAAGTAGTTGTGCAAGGACTTCAAAAATTGCCCCTTGGAGGCTTGTAAATGAGCAGTGTTTTGAAGATAACAGACAAATGAGATTTTCGTTGTCCATGAATTTACACTTCAATGATTAGTAAAGACATCTTCAAAGGACAGACAATTACAAATGCTATTAGAGCAAAGAAGTCCTGAGAAATTCAAGAAAAGAAGATAGTATGACTTTATTACTTGTATAAGTAAAAAAATCTGAATGTCTAAGGGATATAACTAAGCCATTAAAATAATTTACCTATACAAGTAAATAAAATACACTTGCATAGGTATCTTACAATTTTACTTATAAAAGTATATTAATACTTACTTCTTCAAGTAATTAAAAATTACTTGTACAAGTAGTTCCCCTGACTGTAATACAGAATGTCAGAATACAGAATACTTGTCTCTGAAAAAAATATTCTTATATACCTTTATATAACACAAGGTATTTAACTTGCATTTTTGAAAAATGTCACCCGGTCGCGAACTTCCATATATTTCGATTTCTCAGGTGTCTACCCATCTAAAACTCGTTATGCTGTTATTTATAAATCTAAATTGATTAATCTATAAATGGTGTATAACACATCTACCTTTGTTGTTGGGTTCATTTGTAGGGGTGTTGTTATACACCATTGAGTAGATAAATCAATTTAGATTTACAGCATAACAAGATTTAGTGGGGTAGAAAGCCGGAAAAATCGAAATATATGGATAGTTTGTGACCAGGCTTGTGTTATATTAAAATATATAGGAATTTTTTTTCACAGACAAGTGCCTGTGTGCTGATATGGTCGTGTTGACTCAGCAAAAATTTACTCAGAATACTAACAAACATTTGCACCTGGAAATTTTTAAAGCATGGCAGAAACTTGATTAATAAAATATTATGCAATTTACACCAAGTTTTTGTGGATTTAATGTTTTTTTTTATGTAATATGTATTTGTTTTTTTTTTATGTCCTATTTATGGGCATTATGTTTTTCGGTCTGTGAGTCCGTCCATTCGTCCGTCTGTCCCGGTTCAGGTTTAAGTTTTTCAGGTTAAAGTTTTTGGTCAAGGTAGTTTTTGATGAAGTTGAAGTCCAATCAACTTAAAACTTAGTACACATGTTCCCTATGATACATGTATGATCTTTCTAATTTTAATGCCAAATTAGAGTTTTGACCCCAATTTCATGGTCCACTGAACATATAAAATGATAGTGCGAGTGGGGCATCTGTGTACTATGGACACATTCTTGTTTCACTTTCATTCATCAGAGATAGATATTTTTAACAGATTTATATAATGTACACATTTAAGTAGTTCTGATAAAGGGTAAATGTGTCCTCAATCCTACAACCAATGACTAGGAGGGGAATGTTTATTTTATATTAATTAATCTTTTTTTCATTTTCAGGGTCAACCTCCAGAATATAATGAGAGCCAATATATATCAAACACACAGTCGCCACCATCTTATACACAAGGTTTGTTGTCAACTTATTATTTATTGAGAAGGGTTCATGTAGTGCTGTACTTAGATGTGAGGATTTTCAGACTAATAGAAAAACAAAGGATATGGGGTACATTATACCCATCCATGACACAAAATCAGTACATACACAGCAAAAAAAAAAAACACACAAAAAGCAAAATAACAGCTCTTTTATTGTTGTTCTTCATGTCAAAGTCAGAGTGAGGCCTTCAACACAGAGCTAAGAAAAAAAATCTGATCTCGCTGAAAGTTTAAGATGGCCTCAGCACCAGCTAACATACTTCTTTGCAAAAATAAGTACACTATTGATATTACATATAAGATTTTCCTGAATTAAGTGAAAGGTAGATGTGGGGTACACACAGGAAATTAATGAGAACACAAAAAAAACAAAAGGATATAATCTAGGTCAACATGGTCAACACATAATGCATGGTCTCGACAATGTCTGAATGAACAAAAAGTCTACTGATATACATTTGCAATACCTCAAAGAACTGTTATCAACACTAAATTTTTAAGGATGTTCACTGCTCTGTATTAAAAGACTGTTATAAATTGATATAAATAACCCTACTAAAAAAACCAGAATAAAATAATGGTCTATGTCTTTCATGAGCAACATGACGGGTATCACATGCGGAGCAGGATCTGCTTACCCTTCTGTAAACTATTGTGTAAAATTGAGAATGGAAATGGGGAATGTGTCAAAGAGACAACAATCCAACCAAAGAGCAGAAAACAGCTGTAGACCACCAATGGGTCTTCAACACAGCGAGAAAATCCCTTACACGGAGGCTGGCTTCAGCTGGCCCCTGATCAAAAATGTGTACTAGTTCAGTGAAAATTGACATCATATATACTAAACTCCAAAACATATAATTGAACTAAAATTAAAAAGCATACAAGACTAACAAAGCCCAGAGGCTCCTGAATTGGGTCGGGCGCAATGATGCAGCGGGGTTAAATATGATTTGTGAGATCTCAACTCTCCCCCTATACCTCTTGCCAATGTAGAAAAAAAACAAATACACAGCAATACACACAGTTTAAAAGAAATCATAGTGTGCATTTATTATCACGATTTTTGAATAATATACAAAAATGCGACATTAATTATTGTGATTTCAGGAAAATCTGCTTACATACATGTATACGTATCAAATGTCAAAATGTGAGTTCTAATTTTTGCGATAATTCCCTAGTCACATTATTTGCATTAATATAAACCTGGTAATAATGTCTGGAAATTACAGTATTACTTTAATTATATATTATTTTACCATTACAGATCAGACTCCTCCTCCTTCATATGAATCTTTGTATGGTAGAGTAAAGGCAGCCAAACAAAAATCCACATCAAAAGCTGGATTCTTTGTTTCTTTCCTAGGAATATTGTTTGGGACATGTAAGTAAAAATTTACAGTCAGACTGATAAAAAAAAGATTTATTCTACTTTCATGTCGAAATTATAAAATTCAAAATGAACTGTAGTATATTTATAGATTATCAATGGTTTTTCAAACCAGAGGGTGTTTCTCAGCTACAGCCTCATTGAAGGGTGACAGCCCTGAGATGAGATGTTGCCGAGACACATCCTCGAGTTTGAAAGACCTTTGATAATCTGTTTATCACTATTTTGCCTATGACATCGTTGATGTTTACATTGACAACTTCATATGGACCTTGTGCCCTTAGTTTCTGAAGATAATTTTCTATCTCCAGTGAGTAGCGTGATATGAAACATGATAACAAAAAATGAAAAGTGAAAAAACACAAAATTGCAATAAAAGGCCATTATCTATTAGCTAATAGTTAAATGTTTACTGCTATCATGTCTAGAGCGATTTTCAAGAGTTTCTGTATCAAAGAAAAAAATCCATCATATTGGAGAATATACATGAGTTATCTCTTCTTTTCTGTTTTAAGTTGATGTAAGCTGAAATAACACATCTTTTCTATTGTCAAATGATTGCAGTAGTTTATTTGGCCAACCGATCAAAGGCTATCAGATGTTATGTGTAACATTATTTTATAAATTCATAATCTGGCTTCAATGTGTTCGTCCGTCCGTCTGTCCCGCTTCAGGTTAAAGTTTTTGGTCAAGGTAGTTTTTGACAAAGTTGAAGTCCAATCAACTTGAAACTTAGTACACATGTTCCCTATGATATGATCTTTCTAATTTTAATGCCAAATTAGAGTATTGTCCCCAATTTCATGGTTGTTCACATAGAAAATGATAGTGCTAGTGGTGCATCTGTGTACTATGGACACATTCTTGTTTCTTCTTGAATCAAACATTCATCAGTTATATAGTTGTTCATCATGTTGAGCCATGTCCAACCAGGTAAAATTACTGAAGGAGTTCTTGACTTTCCTTTTCAGTGGTTCATCATTTTTAGCCATGTCCAGTCAGGTAAAATTACTTAAGTAATTCTTTCCTTTCTTTTCAGTGGGCTGTACAGTATGTCTTGGTTTATTGCTGGCTTTACCCATTGCAATGATAGCTATTGGTGAGTACAGAGCATATCAAATACATATGTACAGTACAGATATACAGAAATATGTACAGTACAGTTTACAGAAGTATGTACAGTACAGATACACAGTAAATATGTACAGTACAGATGTACAGAAAATATGTACAGTGCAGATGTACAGTAAATATGTACAATAAAGATCTTTCTATGTGCAGAAATATGTACAGAACAGATGTACAGAAATGTGTACAGTACAGATGTACAGAAATATGTACAGTACTGATGAACAGTACAAATGTACCATTCATATGTATGGTACAGATTTACAATAAAAATGTACAGTAAAGAATGAGATGTGCAGAACACATATGCACTACACACTAAGTTGTTTTGTTGATATCAACCTTACTAATGCTTCGGAATCATAAAAGTCTGACCTATGATAAAATTGAGAATGGAAATGGGGAATGTGTCAAAGAGACAACAACCCGACCATAGAGCAGACAACAGCCAAAGGCCACCAATGGGTCTTCAATGCAGCGAGAAACTCCCATACCCGGAGGCGTCCTTCAGCTGGCCCCTAAACAAATATGTATACTAGTTCAGTGATAATGGACGTCATACTAAACTCCAAATTATACTATGACCATATTTTGTGATATCAATATTGGATATATATATATATATATATATAGAGGATTTCACTAACAATTATAATCATTGATTTTAAAAATTCCAGCAACGAATCAAAGAAAATCACCTTGTACATACTGAAACAAGAATTTGTTTTCTTAAGGTGTAATACCACCAAATCATAGTACGTCACATCCGGTTGCATACGAAAATAGGTCGAAAAAAAATATTCCCTTGAATTTGACAGTTGTAGGTAATTGATCCTACATTTCATTGCAGTAAAACATTTCTGAGTCATAAACATATATCTTGGGTATTTCAAAGCACCATTATTTCTTTATTTGGGTTTTCTATAGAATATTTTGGAAACTTGAGGTTACATGGTTACTAAAGCTTGTACACAGGTTAAAAAAGGGGGAAAATTTGATTGGTTAACTTCCAGTGATGGTTATTTTCTTATATGCAATGAAATGTTATGTGAAATTTTTTCTATAGTACTGGACAGGATAAAACTTTACTCATGCCAAGTATTTCTTTATTTGAAACAAAGATAAATTCTGCACAATTTTTTGAAAAGTGCAAATTTAACAAAGACTAATAGGGGAAAATCAATGGTGGTATTACACCTAATATGGGAAGCTGTACATGCACCTTTGACCTTGTGAGTACTCTCATGTGTTAAAATTTCTTGCTATTTAAGTGAAATATTACAAATAATGAAATATTCTGAGTGGATTGAGTCTCCAAAATACATTTTATGAGAAAATTTCCTTGAAATAGGACTTTACCATGAATATTAGTAGACAGAACAAGCCATACTTAGAGTCTTTGGGAGCTTTTTCTCCTTATTTCTTATATTCTGCTATACTAGAAAATTTTTCCTAAGAAATACTTTAATAAATATATAGTTTTAAGTAAATGAAATTATTTTTAAAGCAGTAACAACAAATTATTCACCAAAAGAGAAGTTTTTTATGTCCCTCTCTGGAACGCGGCGTAAATTTAAGTTTTACGCAAGGACTTATTGAAACCTCCTTGGAGACAGTAAACTTTTATACGGATAGTTCAAGCAGCTTGAATACTTCAATTAATCATTTATAATAACATTCCTATCATAAATGAGTGAAAGTTACCCCAAAATTTTTATTTATTGGCCTAAAAAGTAGAAATTTTGAGGAAATGAGAGGTATAAATGGACCAAAAGAGACTTTATAAGGAAGAATAAGAGGTCCATTAGTAGTATTTATCATCCTAAAGTCATCTTTTGTATCATATTCAACTGTTTGTAGGCAGATGAGATAAATATTTGATCATTTATTGGTCCACACTATATTCTATCATGATGCGGCTTGGTTTGAATTTTTCGAAGAAATTTTGCTCGAATCGCTGTAGATGTCGTCTTACATTATACTAGATTTTTCTCAAACTATTGAACTGATTATGACAAAACTTGACAGGAATGCTTGAAATAACCAGTATTACAAAGGAAAAAAGTCACATTCAGTTTATTCAACAAAAAAGTCTTCTTTACTTAAGTACTACAAGAAATTCATAAAATTATGTGAAATAAAAATCCAGGGGTTTGCAAAAATAAAAATGAGTTGTAAACTTTAAATGGTATAAATCTACAAAAAGACAATTTTATCTTGATGTCATCAGTTGTAGATTGAATATAATATTTGTGGTGATAACAACACATTATTTGCAACCATTAAATCCTTGATTGATGTAAGCAAGTATCAAAATACAAATTCTAATGTATGCAGTTGTATCTTGGTTTGAATGCAAATGTGAAACAATCAACAAATTCTTATTTTATTTCAGGGGAAACATGTAAAACCATGGTGATATGGTGCATAATTATTTTAAACCATATAAACTTTAATTCCCTTGGTTCCGTGTCAAAACGTTGATCGCTAGAATCAGTTTTCATAAAACATACTAGAAATAATATCGAAATTGTACTTTATTAAAGAATTCATTCATAACCAATGAGATAATTTATTTTTGCAGGATCTATTTACATCCATGACTGCCCAGCAGAGAGGTATATTCCTATTTACCTGATTGTGGCTGGAAGTGTTGGTATTATTGCCAATTTAATGGGTTTGGGCAAGAAGGCAAAGAATAGGAATGAACAGCAGGAAGAACAGGAAAATGTTAAAGGCAACCCAGTGGACTACATCATCAACTGTTTCCTGCTGGCCTGGTTCATTGCTGGTTTGTATTTTATCATAGTTTTATTCATATCAACATTTCTTACTTTGGCAGGCAACATTTATTGTGAACTATCCCCTTAAATGTGGCCCACTAGAGAACTTTGTGGCTGTGCAGGATTTTTTAAAACAGTAATGTCCAGTTTTTATTGGGAAGTTAAATCTAATGTGTTATGTGGTGCCAGTTTCCATTGAACTGACAGTCTTAATTTCTTGCCCTTCATCAAGTCAACCCATTTTAAAGAGTCTACGTAGTAGATTTATTTTTTAACTTTTTCTCCTACAGAATTTGCATAAAATATTTGCCATTTGATGTTTTATCCCTTGTAAATATTTTTATATGGAGCTGAATCAACTTTAAATAACGGCCTGAATGACTTGGGCTGGAGCGATTTGGGCTGGATAGACTTGGGGCCAGAACAACATGAAACCTAATGGGCAAAAATATTGAGTGAAATTTCTTTCCAATAATCCAGCTGTTAATGCCAATCGGCCCTCTTTTGGGGCTTTTTGTGGAAGGAGTTATTTGAGCTTTAATATTAAGGTTGCCACTCATTGAAGATATTTATGTCTCTAATTGTATAATAACTTTTTTCTAGGTAATGTGTGGGTCTACAGAACTCATGGTCACTTTTCTACGGATGCAACACAAACAGACTATTGCCATCCAACAGTTTATTGGTTTGCCTTCTGGGTGATCACATCAACCTACATTCTTATTGGTGTGATCTGCTTATTTGTCTGTGTCATTGGATGCTTTGCAGCTTTTACATCTGACTGATTCCAGTCTGAGTCTGTTAAGTGTTTTATCTTGACACTGATTATTCTGGTTCTTTTGAGTGTTTTTGTATCATATTTTTTATATGCCTTTTTGTATATAATGGTTGATATACTTCATAATAATTTATATTTCTATTTATTTATTAACTTGTTACACATTTTGCAAAATTTATTTTCTGACATATAGTTACTTCAAGATGGTTGTTTATGTTTTAGTTTTTACAATATCTTAGATCATGGACAGTGGAATATGGTACACAAGAAAAAAATATTCTGTTATTTTATTTGAATTAAGCAATTCTAATTTGCTATTAAAGACTTATGGCCTGAAAACTCAGTTATATTTCGTAGTACATTTATTTTATATCATTATTTCAAATTAAAAAAAAAAAAGCACCTACTCTTTCTCAAAAAGATTTTTAACTGTCTAGTGCACTACTTTTGGGACAAATTATATCAAACATATAGAAAGGTCTACCAGCCCTAACTCAAAATATGGATAATTCTATGTTCAGGCGGTCTATAATTCAGTTGGACGGCTTCAGCACATTCCGACATACTTTTTTTAAACTTTTTTCATTTGGACCAAATACCTGGTAAACCTTAAAATTCATGACCCAGATTTTGTTTACATGTAAATTCACCCCTCTTCTTACTATTTTATGCATAATGTATGAAGAAATAAATCTGAAAGGTGTATGAAAAATTTTCAAGTTTTACACTATCTGCACTATGGACTATATTTTCATAGACAAAAAAATTCAAAGGACAATAACTGTGCCCCCGGACCAGGTGTTGGGTGATTCACTGTCAAACATGGTGAATTATGGTGTCAGATCAAACTCTGGTTTAGGACCGTCATATAATACCTTAGATGGAATATACAGAGAGATATTTTTAAAGAAAATTACCCACAAGCACCAGCATTCACTGAGTGATTTTTACGGAACATATGTGTACTGTAGATCGAAAGTGAGAACAAACTTTAGACATTTTTGACCTGGTTTCTCTGCAATATTATATATTTGTTATGCTATTGCGTTATAAAGATATTAAGAATAATTATACGGATTCCTGTAATTGCTTTACTTTGTTAATTAGATCTTTGTAACATTTGCTGATCAAATATGATTATTTCATAGATTTATTCTATATCATGTATTTGCATAATAGTGGCAGTATAGAAATAATTATCAGATAAGTAATTGTACTCTTAGTGTATGTTCCTTAGATGGAAGAGGGTCTGGATTGGGGATCCCTCATTTCTTCATTCTGTAACGTTTTAGATAATTTTTCTCTTATTTTTTTATTTATTTTGCCCATTATTCTCTATTCTTTTTATTTTAGCACCCCATTATTCTCTTTTCTCTTCTATTTTGTTTGTCTATTTTTGTCTATGGTTTATTTGTTTGTCCTTTTTTCTTCACTTTATATCAATCATTCTCTTTTCTGTAAACCCCATCCAGACCCTTATAGATATTTTAACATAAAACTCTCACAGAAAAGGAAATTGATAAATATATTAGTAACCTTCACAAAGATGATAAATATATTAGTATCCTTCACAAAGATACATTTTCTTCTTTAAGAAATAACAATTCAGTTACCTACCTTGAAATTTAGTCACAATTTACCTTTAACAAAATGTGGAAATTGAAATTGAAAAAATTATATGTTACAAGTTCAGTTAATGTGATACAATGTACACAATGTGATATAGTGTACAAACTGTGATATGATATACACAATGTGATATAGTGTACATAATGTGATACTGTATACTGTATACATAATGTGATATAGTATACACAATATGAAACAGTATACACACTGTGATATAGTGAACACAATGTGATATAGTGTACACAATATGATATAGTGTACACAATATGATATAGTGTACACAATATGATATAGTGTACACAATATGATACACTATACATAATGTGATATAGTTTACATAATGACATATAGTGTACACAATGTGATATAGTATACACAATATGATACAGTATACACAATGTGATGCAGTATACACAATTTGAAATAGTGTACACAATGTGACACAGTATACACAGTGTGATACTGTGTACACAAATAGAACTTTGACTGTGAAACATAATGATTGTGATGTTAATAATTGAAAGCAATCTGAATAATCAATGATTTTTCATTAAATTAACAAAAAAAAATTGCAAAGCAAACCACCAAAAATTAATGTCATTTATTCATGTTATTACTAGTAAAGGTGTATTGTACATGAGGATGCCTGATCAATGTAGTTATGTAAACAATTAGATGGTGTTAAGTTATAATTTCAAAGCATAATATATTTAATAGTATATGTTTATGTATAAAAGTATAATTGTTGGCTATGGTATATGTAGTTTGAATGTATGAAGCAGAGAAACATAATTCTATTTTATGTCCTTTGTAGGATAAGTTTTGGTATTAGACTGTTGGATATTTTTTTTGCAGTCGGAAGAGCTGAAAAGCTCAGAACTATATTGACTTTAAAAATTGAAAAACATATGTCTGTAAATTTAAAATGAGTGTATTTAATTTCATCTGCTTGATTGGAAATTCTCTTAGATAAATAGGTATCAATAAGAATCTATACTTGACAAAACATTGTTAGCTTTTCCAGAATTTAATGTTAAAATTTTTTATGGTGTGTGAAATGTCAAGAGTATAACACATTTAATTGCACAATACATTTCTGTTCTTATCATTGTCTATGCTGTTACCAGTCAAAAAGGTTTTGATGGCTTTGTTCAATATTTTAGATATTCTTTTATTATGTTCTGTTGTGAAATACCTATTGAATTGAATTTCAACACACAAAAAAATTGTTATCATTGTTGTTATCTTGTAATGTTTATGACATAATCTTCTCAATTTGCCATGTCATCTCAATAAACTATCAAAAGAAAAGTCATTCTTATGAAGATGAATACATAAAGATTTTGATATACACATCATTAAGGCAAGAACACAATGGCACAATAACAAAAAACGATCTATAGATTAACATAGTCTTTAACCGTAAATAAGTTTTCATATATCTGCTCATTGAATAGGCAGGGACCATTAACATTCTTTAATTTACCCCCAATCAGCCAATCAGTCACAAAAAAAAAATATTCATGTTTTTTTCTCAAATGTATGAAAGTACTGTTAACAGTGGTTGAATTTATGGGGGTGTTTCGTGTTTGATGCACATTTCTGGATTTGGCTTCACTACAAAAGCTAAAGCTAAGGTATCTGAAAACCAATGATTTATAAATATCTGAATAAGTGAGGAGTTTTATTACCAAACAGGACATGAAAAGGATGTCCACATTAAACTTAGGTAAACTTGCCTGTGGCAGTTTGATCCTTATATATCACATGATGGCCTGGATGGCTGAGTGGTCTAAGTAGTCAAACTACATTTTAATATATCATTAACCTGTCAACACTGAGGTTGTGAGTTGAGAATCCCACACGTGGCAGGTGTGCTTGACTCCAATCTTAATTGACTAGGATCGTCAGGTTTCCTACTGCAGTTTGTTGGTTCTCTCTGGACATTGAGACATCCTCCAAATAAAACCTGACCGCCAAGAAAAATCACAATAGTGCTGAAAGTGGCTTTTAACACCATTAATCAAACATTGTAATGTTTTTACTTTTTCTACCTGTTTTACATGGTAAGATTCAGAGATTTCTTTGATATTGATTCAAGATTGCTAAATGACTCACTAGCAACATATTTTCGCAGTCTTATATCTTGAGATACCAGAATAGTTCTGTAATCTGTAATTTTACCGATTGTGTCATATTCCTGAATGTGACATTTTGACTGAGTGAATTTGCATGGCTGGTAATAAAATTGAGAATGGAAACAGGGGATGTGTCAAAGAGACAACAACCTGACGAAAGAGCAGAAAACAACCCAAGGCCACCAATGGGTTTTCAACACAGCGAGAAAATCCCGCACCCGGAGGCAGGCTTCAGCTGGACCCTTAAAAAATGTTTACTAGTTCAGCGAAAATGGACGTCACACTAAACTCCGAAACATATAAATGAACCAAAATAAAAAAAAAAAAAAAACACAAAAAAAAACAACAAAACATACAAGACTTACAAAGGCCAGAGGTTTCTGACTTGGGACAGGCGCAAAAATGCGATGGTGTTAAACATGCTTTGTGAGATCTCAACCTTTCCATGCATGCATAGCAGTAGACGCTTACCCTGTCGCCACACACAGTCTTGGTCTTTTGAAATTAATCATGTTTATGTTATTCCTTCAGTTTTTGATTGTTACCTTTATTTGTCTAAAACAATTTATCAGATTTGAACATTGATAAAACAAATTCATCAAAGATACCAGTCCTAAAATTGTGTACGGCAGACGTGCAATTACTGTCGCCTATATTAAGTAAATGTAAAACAAACAAAACATGTTTATCGTTTAAGCAATAAATTATCAATCTTCAGGGATAATTACTAAATATTTTATTTAATACAATATCAATATGCAAAAATGTTGATGTTGCATCAACGGGACGATCAAAAGTATTAACAAAAAACAATAATCAATAGAAAATGTCAACAGACAAAATATAGCCCACAAAACACTTTGCAGAAGATTAAATATAAGGGCAACAGGAACCCTGTAAATCTGGTAAAAAGGTGGGAGGGGGCGTCCTTGATGGGGTTTATGACGTCAGTTGCCGAAGATTGACAAGCATTTCTATTCCTGTTTACTAGTATCTTGTGTCTTAGTTATATGCAAAGTCAAATAAGATACTAGACATCACTTATATACCTGAATATCTAAAACTGATGTAGAATTAGTTTCACAAGTTTGTCACTGGTCTCTTCGAGAAGCCTATACATACCCATATAAGCCAGAAATCTACGAGGAAGACTATTTTTTATATTCTCATGCTTGAAATTTCTCAATTCCATGGAGAAAATTTGGTGAAATCCACTCAGTCATGGTCTTTTGACATTGGACATTTTTTACATAGCTTACACGTTAACGTTTTTGATGAGGTTAGTTCAAAGGGAATTATTCATGGATATTCTGTGATATTGGGTCTGCAGTTTTAATAGCATTAGCACATCTCTTTTTTAAGTAGATTATATGCGTGCATTTAGGAATTTTTTTTACGTTTGCACGCAGCTTTTGATTACATTTACGTGCATTCGTTTTACAGGTAACACAGGTTAAAGGGGCATTAACTGTCAAATTCATGTTCACCGATTTGACTCAAATTCTCATATTTTATTTATAACATACTAAGACGTATATACTCTAATTACAATAAGTCTAAAATAAACAGTTAACAATGCACGTACTCGATAATATTATCAGAATTTCATGT